CCCACCTGTCCACATGCATGCCAACCTGCAAAGTAACTTGGAGTGTGTGTTTTCTTCCTTTTTCCTTTTTTTTTTTTTTTTCTGACACAAGGTCTTGTTTTCTACCAGGCTGGAGTTCAGTGGCCCCATCTCAGCTCACTACAACCCCCCCCTCCCAGGTTCAAGTAATTCTCCTGCCTCAGCCTCCTGAGTAGCTGGGATTACAGGCATGCACCACATGCCCAGATAATTTTTATATTTTTAGTAGAGATGAAGTTTCACCATGTTGGTCAGGCTGGTCTCGAACTCCTGACCTCAGGTCATCTGCCCTCCTTGGCCTCCCAAAGTGCTGGGATTACAGGTGTGAGCCAGGACACCTGGCCTGAGCATGTCTTTTCTAATCTTGGGCCTGGTTTGAGTCCTTGAACCTGTAGTAGTGGAGGTGATCTGTGGGTTCCAGAATCTTGTGGAGGGATTGGTGAGACCATAGCAGGACCCCTTGCACTGTCCCTCTGCCTGGAGCAAGGGGTGCCAGCCTCCCATTTCCTGATGGGTGGGCAGCCCAAGGTGGGTGGAGCCAGGCTGCCTTGTTTCTACTTCTTGGTTCCCAGGGGTGGGCGATGGCAGTGGCACCCCTGGAGCCAGAGGGCATGGGGTGCCCAGACCCTGCCTCCACATTTACTGGATGGTTGCTGGGGTGTGTGCTCCAAGACCTATGGCCCCTGTGGGCGTGGAGGAGAAACCAGAGACTCAAGCAGATCTCCCTGCCTGCCTTCCGGTCTCACGTCCCACTCCGCCTTGGCTCTGGGCCAGGGGCTGCCAGAGTGGTGACTCAGAGCAAGTGAGAAGAGGAGAGAAACAAAATGCAGGGTGGGGTGGAGGTCCTCTTCAGTTCTCCAATCTCTGTCATCCCAGTGTCCCCAGCAAGGCCAGGACCCTTGAGGCCACATCTCAAGACCGGCCGCACTGGCCTCCTGCTGCTGCTGCTCCTCCTCCTCCTCTACCCTCCCTCCTTTGTGGGTTTTTTTTTTTTTCTCCTGGAACCACGCTAGGGCAGGAAAGCGGAAATGAGTGTGGGGCGTGGAATGTCTCTGAGGTTGGAATATATTTAGGCCAGGAGGAGAGTGTCTGTGTGTGGTGCTGGCCAGGTCCTGGCGCCAGCCCGGCGGGCTCAAGGAGTGAAGCTGGGGGGCCCTGAGCCGGGGTGGGGAGGCTCCTGCCTTCTCCCTTTTCTTGAGATGGAGTCTTGTTCTGTTGCCCAGGCTGAAGTGTACAGTGGTGCAGTCTTGGCTCACTGCAACCTCTGCCTCTGGAGTTCAAGAGATTCTCCTGCCTCAGCCTCCTGAGTAGCTGAGATTACAGACACCTGCCACCACGCCTGGCTAACTTTTGTATTTTCAGAAGAGATGGGGTTTCACCATGTTGGCCAGGCTAGTCTCGAACTCCTGACTTTGTGATCTGCCCCGCCTCGCCCTCCCAAGGTGCTGTGCTGGGATTACAGGCGGGAGCTACTGCACCCAGCCGCCTTCTCCCTTTTAAAGGCAGTGTCTCAGCTTTGGGGAGGAGGATGCAGGCAGCTAGAGACAGTGGGATGGGAATCACCAGGCCCTCACCAAGGCTGGGGCAGGCCCTGTGCAGGGCCAGATACATTTAGCATCTTCAAAACAAACCAGCAAGACTAATATCAGGGTCACCTACAGCTGAAAACACGAGGCCCAGAGAGGTTAAGCAGCTTTTCCAAGTCTGCTCAGGAAAGAGATGATGAGGGGAGGGTTCCCTTGCTGGCGTGGCTGGCTGCCACCATTCCTGCATGCAGTGTTCATTCATGCAACCTTTGTGGGCACAGCCTGGCCTGTGCCGGGCCCCCACAACCTGCAGGAGAACAAGAAGCCAGCTGGACCTGGGGCTGCAAATTGCAGTCCACCGCTGGCATTGCTGGTTGTCTCTGCACAGCCCTTGGGCTAAGAATGGTTTTTACTTTTTTTTTTAATAGAGAGCCTCGCTCTGTTGCCCAGGCTGGAGTGCAGTGGCATGATCTTGGCTCACTGCAACCTCTACCTCCCGGTCCTGGTTCAAGAAATTTTCCCGCTTCAGCCTCCCGAGTAGCTGAGATTACAGATGCCCACCACAACACCCAGCTAATTTTTTGTATTTTTTAGTAGAGACGGGGTTTCACCACGTTGGCCAGTCTGGTTTTGGAATTCCTGACCTTGTGATCCGCCTGCCTTGGCCTCCCAAAGTGCTGGGATTACAGCCTTAAGCCACTGCACCCGGACTGGTTTTTACATTTTTAAGTGGTTGAAAACAAAAGAAGAAGAGTATTCCATAATACATAGCAATTTTCCAAAAGTGCAGTTTCAGCCTTCATGAGCTCAGGGTACGCAGGTCACACCCATTTGAGTCCATATTATCTGTAGTTGTTTTTTTGTACCGAGGCAGAGTGGAGCTGTTTTGACAGAGACCCTGCAAAGCTAAACAACGTTCCTATCTGTCCCCTCCTCCTCCTCACACTTTTTTCTATTTTGGGGGGAGTCTCATTCCCGTCATGCGTGCTGGAGTGCAGTGGTGCAATCTTGGCTCACTGCAACCTCCACCTCCTGGGTTCAAGTGATTCTCCTGCCTCAGCCTCCCAAGTAGCTGGGATTACAGGCAGACATCACCACATCCGGCTAATTTTTTTGTGTTTCGTTTTTTGTTTTGAGATGGAGTTTTGCTCTTGTTGCCCAGGCTGGAGTGCAATGGCACGATCTTGGCTCACTGCAGCGTCTGCCTCCGAGGTTCAAGTGATTATTTTGCCTCAGCCTCCCCAGTAGCTAGGATTACAGGCATCCACCACCACACCCAGCCACCACCACACCCAGCTAATTTTGTTGTATTTTTAGTAGAGATGAGGGTTCACCATATTGGCCAGGCTGGTCTCAAACTCCTGACTTCAGGTAATCCTTGGCCTCCCAAAGTGCTGGGATTACAGGCATGAGCCACTGAGCCCAGCACATTTATTATTATTATTTTATGCTGGGTGTGGTGGCGCAAATCTGTAATCCTAGCACTTTGGGACTCTGAGGTGGGAGGATCACCTGAGGTCAGGAATTTGAGACCTGTCTGGCCAACATGGTGAAACCCTCTCTCTACTAAAAATACAAAAATTAGCTGGGCGTGTTAGTGGGCACCTGTAATTCCAGCTACTTGGGAGGCTGAGGCTGACGAATCAGCTGAACCTTGGAGGCAGAGGTTGCAGTGAGCCAAGATCACGCCACTGCACTGCAGCCTGGGCAACAGAGCGAGACTCCGTCTCAAAAAAAAAAAAAAAAAAAAAAAAAAAAAAATGGTCTGTCCACAAACAGCTTCCCAGACTGCCTTTTCATCCATTTTCCAAGTCCCTGACTACCCAACCAGTGTCGGGTGATACCCTGGGCCATTTTTCCCTCCAAGGAAATTGAATAAACAGGTGCACTGCTCAAGGTGACAGAGCGAGACTCCGTCTCAAAAAAAAAATTTTTTTTGGCCGGGCGCGGTGGCTCAAGCCTGTAATCCCAGCACTTTGGGAGGCCGAGGCGGGTGGATCACGAGGTCAAGAGATCGAGACCATCCTGGTCAACATGGTGAAACCCCGTCTCTACTAAAAATACAAAAAATTAGCTGGGCATGGTGGCGTGTGCCTGTAATCCCAGCTACTCAGGAGGCTGAGGCAGGAGAATTGCCTGAACCCAGGAGGCGGAGGTTGTGATGAGCTGAGATCGCGCCATTGCACTCCAGCCTGGGTAACGAGAGCGAAACTCCGTCTCAAAAAAAAAAAAAAAAATTTTTTTTTAGGCCAGGCATAGTGGCTATTTCCAGCACTTTGGGAGGCCCAGGTGTGAGGATTTCTTGAGCCCAGGAATTTAAGACCAGCCTGGGCAACATGGATAAACCTTGTCTCTTGCAAAAATACAAAAAATTAGCTGAGTGTGGTGGCATGTGCCTGCGATCCCAGTTCCTTGGGAGACTGAGCTGCAGAGTCCGGGAGGTAAAGGCTGCAGTGAGCTATTACCGTACCACTGCACTCCAGCTTAGGTGACAGGAAGACCTTGCCTCAAAATAAAAAAATTACTTTTAAAGATGGGGGTCTCACTGTATTGCCCAGACTGGACCCAAACTTCTGAGCTTAAGAGGTCCTCCAGCATCAGCCTCCCAAGTAGCTGGGCTAAAAATTGTTAATTTTCTTTTAACAATATGACTGTGGCCAGGTGCAGTAGCTTACGCCTGTAATCCCAGCACTTTGAGAGGCCCAGGCGGGTGGATCACCTGAGGTCAGGAGTTTGAGACCAGCCTGACCAATATGATGAAACCCTGTTTCAAAAAAAAAATAATAATAATAAGACTATTTTATCCTATTAGCTGGGCAAGGTGGCTCACACCTATAATCCCAGCACTTTGGGAGGCTGAGGTGGGTAGATCACCTGAGGTCAGGAGTTCGAGACCAGTCTGACCAACATGGAGAAAACCCATCACTACTAAAAATACAAAATTAGCTGGGTGTAGTGGCACATTTCTGTTAATCCCAACTACTTGGGAGGCTGAGGCAGGAGAATCGTTTGAACTCGGAAGGCGGAGGTTGCGGTGAGCCGAGATCGCGTCATTGCACCCAGCCTGGACAACAAGAGTAAAACTCGGTCTCCAAAAAAAAAAAAAAAAAAAAAAAGAATACTTTTTAAAAAATGGATAATTCTCCCGGACTCCCTGCTATGGGAGTTGAAGGGGCAGATGTGGGGTGGAGGGAGAGAGGAGCTGGTGTTGGCACCGTCTAAACTGGGCCTTGCTAAATGCAGCCCGCCACCTGTTTCTGCACAGCCTGTGAGTTAAGAATGGCTTTTTCATTTTTAAATGGTTGAGGGGGAAAAAAAAAAATCAAAAGGGAAATTTCACGACATGGGGAAAAGTATATGCAATTCAAATTTCAGTGTCCATAAATAAAGTTTTATTGGCACGGAGCTGTGCTCATTCATTTACCCTGTATCCGTGGCTGCTTTTACGCTCCACAGCAGAATTGAGTCATTCAACAGACTGTCTGGCCCTCGAAGCTGAAAATATTTACTGTCTGGCCCGTTGGAGAGGAAGCTTGTGGACCCCTCTTCTAAGGGGCCTGAGACCCTCGCATCAATCTGTCCCTGTTTCAGATGGCCCCAGGATCACTTCTTCATTGGACAGTAAAGAGGTTGGTGTGATTTGGAGGCAGGAGGGCTCGCTGAGGGCTGATCCTTAACACTGGATTCCCCCTGGGGAGGAGGGGCATTTGGGTCTTCAAGGTGAAGCGGGATTGAGGACTGAGGTGGGCAGACTGGCTGTGGGCACCGCAGGAGCAAAGGCCAGGAGGCCAAACCTCTGCCTCCACTCAAGCACCCCCGCTCAGTTTGAGGCCAACCTGGGCAACATAGCAAAACCCCGCCTGTACAAAACAGTTAGCTGGCCAGGCGCGGTGGCTCACGCCTGTAATCCCAGCACTTGCGAGGCCACGGCGGATGGATAACCTGAGGCCGGGAATTAGAGGCTATCCTGACCAATGTGGAGAAACCCCATCTCTACTAAAATTACAAAATTAGCTGGGTGTGGTGGCGCATGCCTGTAATCCCAGCTACTTGGGAGGCTCAGGCAGGAGAATTGCTCGAACCTGGGAGACAGAGGTTGCGGTGAGCTGAGATCATGCCATTGTACTCCAGCCTGGGCAACAAAAGCGAGGAAAACTCTGTCTCAAAAAAAAAAAAAAAAAAAAAAGAAATCGGGCATGGTGACACATGCCTGTAGTCTCAGCTGTTTGGGAGTCCGAGGTGGGAGGAATTGTTTCAGACCAGGAGTTCCAGGCTGCAGTGGGCCATGATCACACCACCGCCCTCCAGCCTGGGCAACGGAGTGAGAACTTGTCTCAAAAACAAACAACAATAAAAAAAAATCAGGAAAGAGAGACAGAGAGAAATAAAAGAAAGAGGCCAGGCGAGGTGGCTGACACCTATAATCCCAGCGCTGTGGGAGGTCAGCGCAGGTAGATCACATGAGGCCAGGAGTTCAAGATCAGCCTGGCCAACATGGTGAAACCCCATCTTTACTAAAAATACCAAAAAAATTTAGCCAGGTGTGGTGGTGTGTGCCTATAGTCCCAGCTAATTGGGAGGCTGAGGCAGGAGAATCACTTGAACCCAGGAGGCAGAGGTTGCAGTGAGCCAAGACTGTGCTACTGCACTCCAGCCTGGCGACAGAGCGAGACTCTGTCTCAAAAAAAAAAAAAAAAAGAGAAAAAAAAATTAAGCAAGCTCCCCTGTCCCATCTCTTGGCGGATGGGACAGATCTGTTTCATGGACCACCTCACCTCTCCCAGCGCCAGGCCCATCTGCTGTCTCTCCATTTCTCTGCCCCCGTCCACGGTCACTGTCTGCACCAGCCTCCATCTCTTTCATTGTCCTGGGTCTGGAGATGAGCTCCTGTAGTTGGTTCCCCACCTCTTTTATCTCCTCGTCTCAGCATGACCGGTGCATTTTCCTTGCCTTTCTTTTATTTCTTTTGTTTTGCTTTGTTGTTGTTTCTTTTCTTTTTTTTTTTTTTTTTTGAGATGGAGTCTCTGTCGCCCAGGCTGGAGTGCAGTGGTGCAATCTCAGCTCACTGCAACCTCCACCTCCCAGGTTCAAGCAATTCTCCTGTATCAGCCTCCTGTAGGGTTGGGATTACAGGCGCTCACCACCATGCCTGGCTAATTTTTGTATTTTTAGTAGAGACGGGGTTTCACCATGTTGGTCAGGCTAGTCTTGAACTTCTGACCCCATGATCTGCCCTCCTCAGCTTCCCAAAGTGCTAGGATTACAGGCATGAGCCACTACACCCGGCCCTTCTTTTTATTTTTGAGATGGAGTTTCGCTCTTGTTGCCCAAGCTAGAGTGGAGTGGCTCAATCTTGGCTCACTGCAACCTCTGCCTCCCTGGTTCGAGTGATTCTTCTCCTGCCTCAGCCTCCTGAGTAGCTGGGATTACAGGTGCCCACCATGCATGGCTAGGTTTTTGTATTTTTGGTAAAGATGGGGTTTTACCATGTTGGCCAGGCTGGTCTCGAACTCCTGACCTCAGGTGACCTCAGCCTCCCAAAGTGCTGGGATTACAGGCATGAGCTACTGCACCCAGCCTTTTTTTTTTTTGACTTTTTTAGAAAACTTTTTTCCTATTCCATACTTCATTTCAAAATTAACCATTTTAAAGTGAACATTTCGGTGACATTTAGAACATTCACATTGTTGTGCAGCCGTCACTGCCATCCATCTCCAGAACTCTTTTCATCTTGGAAAACTGAAACTCTGTCCTCATTAAACACTCTCTCCCCACTCCCCCTCCCAGCAGCCCCTGGCACCCACCAGTCTGCTTCCTGTCTCTGTGAATCTGTCTCTTCTGAACATTTCATATCAATGGAATCATCCACTATGTGGCCTTTTGTGTCTGGCTTCTTTCACTCAGCATGATTTTTAAAAAAATATATTTTTAGAGACAATCTCACTCTGTTCTGTGGGCTGGGGTGCAGTGGTGTGAACATAGCTCACGGCAGCCTCAGCCTCCTGGGATCAAGCAATCCTCCTGCCTCAGCCTCCTGAGTAGGTAGGACTACAGGTGTGTACCACAATGCCTGACTAATATATATATATATATATTTTTTTTGAGTCTTGCTCTGTCACCAGGCTGGAGTGCAGTGGCGCGATCTCAGCTCACTGTAACCTCCGCCTCCTAAGTTCAAGCAATTCTCCTGCGTCAGCCTCCTGAGTAGCTGAGACTATAGGCTGGAGCCATCATGCCCAGTTAATTTTTGTATTTTTAATAAAGATGGGGTTTCACCATGTTGGCCATGACGGTCTTGATCTCTTGACCTCGTGATCTCTTGATCTCTTGACCTGCCTCGGCCTCCCAAAGTGCTGGGATTACAGGCATGAGCCACCTTGCCCAGATAATTTTTTTTTTATATATAAAGAGACAGGGTCTCCCTTTGTTGCCCAGGCTGGTGTTGAACCGGCTCCAAGCCATGCTCCCATTTTGGCTTCTCAAAGTGGATTATAGGCGTGAGCCACTGCGCCCAGCCTAGCATCTGGTTTTGTTTGTTTTTTTTTGAGGTTCATGCATGTTGCAGCATGAACCAGTGCTTTATTATTACTGTCATTATTTTGAGAGGGAGTTTCGCTGTTGTTGCCCAGGCTGGAGTGAAGTGATGCAATCTTGGCTCACCACAACCTCCTCCTCTCAGGTTCAAGCGGTTCTCCTGCCTCAGCCTCCCAAGTAGCTGGGATTACAGGCGCCCACCACCATGCCTGGCTAATTTTGTTTTCGTTTTTTTCTTTTTAAATGGAGTCTCCCTCTGTTGCCAGGCTGGAGTGCAGTGGCACCATCTCGGCTCCCTGCAACCTCAGACTCCCTGGTTCAAGCGATTCTCCTGCTTCAGCCTCCTGAGTAGCTGGGATTACAGGCACGCACCACCACACTTAGCTGATTTTTTTGCATGTTTAATAGAGACAGGGTTTCACCATGTTGGCCAGAATAGTCTGATCTCCCGACCTCAGGTGATCTGCCCACCTCGGCCTCCCAAAGTGCTGGGATTACAGGCGTGAGCCACCGCGCCCGGCCTCTTTTTGGTTTGTTGATGTAGGCTGGGCTGACTGATGTCTCCTCCACCTCCCCTATCTGATGGGAGCCCTTCAGGGCTGGAACCGGATCCCTCTTCCCCACCAGGGTGCACTCTCAGCTCCCAGGCCTGTGCTTGATCCTTAGCTGATGCTCAAAATATAGCTGAAGGAATGGCAGAGAGTGCCAGATGGGGGGGCAAAGGATGTAGTCAGCTGCTGGGGAAGATAGACGGGCTGGCCGGATGTGAAAACCTGTGGTTCTGGGGGTGTACGGAGCACTCAGGCTGCAGCTGGGGAAGATAGACGGGCTGGCCGGATGTGAACACCTTGTGGTTCTGGGGGTGTAGGGAGCACTCAGGCTGCAACTGGGGTTGGGTGCAGGAGCAGGGAACTCAGTGGGTTGGCTGGGTAGGGGCTGCAGGTACCCAGAGGAGGAGTCGTCTTTGGAAGCAGAGAAGTGGGCATGGAGAGATGGACTCCCCCAGGTGGCAGTGCAGCTCTGTGGCCAGGGGAAGGTTGGACTGAGGGACAGGAGGTGCAGAGTCTTCACGGTAACATTCTTGGCCGTCCTGCATGTGCATTCAATGCCTAGGAAGGGCTGGGAGCATTACAGGCTCCTGCCTGTAATCCCAGAATTTTGGGAGACCGAGGCAGGTGGATCACCTGAAGTCAAGAGTTCCAGACCAGCCTTGTCAACATAGTGAAACCCCATCTCTACTAAAAATACAAAACTTAGGCGGGTGTGGTGGTGGGAGTCCAGCTACTCCCACTGAGAGGCTGAGGCAGGAGAATCACTTGAACCCAGAGGTGGAGGTTGCAGTGAGCTGTGATGGCGCCACCGTCTGTCTGGGAGACAGAACAAGACTTAAAACATAATAATGATAAAAAAAGATAGGCGAGGCTTGAGGGCTCACACTTGTAATCCCAGCGCTTTGGGAGGCCGAGGCGGGTAGATCACGAGGTTAGGAGTTTGAGACCAGCCTGGCCAATACGGTGAAACCCTGTCTCTACAAAAAAATACAAAAAGTGGGCGGGGCGAGGTGGCTCATGCTTGTAATGCCAGCACTTTGGGAGGCCGAGGTGGGTGGATCACCTGAGGTCAGGAGTTTGAGACCAGCCTGGCCAACATGGAGAAACCTCATCTCTTAAAACACACACGCACACACACACAGTAGCCGAGTGTCCATCTCAAAAAAATACAAACACACACACAGAGTAGCTGAGTGTGATGGCATGTGCCTGTAGTCTCAGCTACTCAGGAAGCTGAGGCAGGAGAATCCCTTGAACCCGGGAGGCAGAGGTCACAATGAGCCGAGATCTTGCCACTGTACTCCAGCCTGGGTGACAGAGTAAGACGCCATCTCAAAAAAACAGCAACGACAAAGAAAGCCTGGGAAGGCCTGGGCAAGGTGGCTTTTGCCCGTAATCCCAGCACTTTGGGAGGTCAAGGCAGGAGAATTGCTTGAGCCCAGAAGGTTGAGGCTGCAGTGAGCTCTGATCATGCCACTGCTCTCCAGCCTGGGCGATAGAGCAAAACCCTGTCTGAACAGAAAGAAAAGCCTGGAAAGGCCAGT